GTGTTGGGAGCCAGTGGGGATGGACCTAGGCTGCTACAGAAAGGACCTAGGGGACTGAGTTTGCTGTCATCTGCCCTCAAGCCGTGGGAGGACACAATATTCACCACATGTGCTCCCCCAGGGTACAGCCCAAGGCGCTACCTTCAAGCAGGAAGCAGTCCTCAGGGGTAGTCAAATCTGCTTCTGCTTTGTCTTGGACTCCCAGCCTCCAGTACTGTGAGAAATAAGCTTTTGTTTTTCGAAAATTACGCAGTCTCCAGTGTTCTGTCATAGCACCCGCAGACTCACACTGTGACTTGGCCTAGCCCTGGGCCACCCAGCACTGCCCTGATGTCGCAGTGGGCAAAGCATGGAACAGATTAGATGCAGGCTTGTTTTGTGCCGGCCAATAGCAGATCTAAGGGACTGGGGTTTTACTATGATCGTATAGGTGCACATATGCGCTCAATTTCCCCTCCTGCTTTACTCATGCTTCTCACAGAACCAGGCTGAATGTGAGCTCTCACGATGGCCCTCTCCTTACAGAAGAGGTCATCAGGACCCCAGGAAACCCAGGCCCAAACCAACAACCCATGGATGGCACTGGCAGGGACCATTGTCTGACACACTTTTCCTCTCTCCCAGCTCCGTGTGCGTTAAAACTTTTCCCTTTCCTTATTTCCAGGCAACATGTGCCCCTCTTTGTCTATAGAACCTCACTCAGAACTTTCTTCTGCTGGCACTACCTTCTGTGACCTCCTGCTAACCCCTAACATTTGCTCAGGTACCAGAGATGGTCTGCTAACAAAAGTGTACTCCTAAACCACACCTGGTGTTGACTTTCCCTCTGAAATCCCTTAAAAAATATGTCTACAATTTACCCTAGGGGCTCAGAGGACAAGTCCCTATATATGTATGCATATATTTACATATTTACCTATGGCTCCTGGACACGCATAGCTCAGATATGTATTCATGATGCAAGTGTGTGAATATAGATATGCATATATGTTAATATACATATATATTTTTGTGTTGTTTTTTCAGTCATTTTTATTAGAACTGTACATATTTCTAATACAAAATTATTACGTTCTTCATGGGAAATTGGTGCATATACATGACACGTCTTAATTCTTGCGTTGTTTTTAATGGCAAAAAATTAGAAACTTCCTAAATGTGTGTCATTAGGTGTTAGGTTACATCATAAGTTGGCAAATGGCAGCCTGTGTGCCAAAACCAATCCAGAGTCTGTTTTTGTGATTAAAGTTTTATTTTACATGGTCACACCTGTTGGCTTATGTTCTGTCTTTGACAACTTTGGAGATACAATAGCAGAATTGAATATTTACACAGAAACTATTTGGTCTGCAAAACCAAAAATGTACACAGTACTATCTATGCCTTTACAGGAAAACTTTTTAAAACCCTTGGTTAAGTTATGTTTTCTCTAAATGCAGCTATTAAAATGACCACGTCAGTCTGTAACTATGACTGTGGAAACTTGTCTGTGACACATTGCTAAATAAGAAAATCAGACAGAAAATATTGACTTAACCCTGTTCTTATAAAAGGAAGTATGTTTACCTAAATGTGTGTACTTGCATATAAAAATATGTTTATTTCCTCTGGAAAGTTACGGAAGGAGAAAGACATAGGTGAACTTTTTAAATGTCTTCTTTGTGACTTTCTTTTTATGTTTCTGAAAAATGAATATATTTTAAAAGTTCTTTTTACTCGAGGGGTTAAAAAACACCCCGCTTGTTCCCCACCCTCTAGTAGCAGGTGAGTCCTGGCATTGAAGCAGCTGTGCTTGGGAGACATCCTGGTTTTTGCAGACAGCAAAGGGCCAGCAGAGTCACCCCAGAGGAGTCCACCCTCCCTGATCGCAGCAACCCCCTCACAGCATGCTTCCCTCCTCCCATCACAGCCTAACACCTGGTCTTGTCCGCATGATGGAGGCCCCTCCACTGCACCCAGCCAACAGAAAGAGTGCAGAGAAATCCCTGCTCCTGAGTCAGCTCTGGCTCAACCAACAAGACACCACAGGAGGCACAGGATACAAAGTGCCAGATCTGCGCCGAGCCAAGGCACAGCATGCAGGCATGAATGGCTTATATTTAGCAAAGTCCAGCCCTCAGATTGGCCCAACTCCAGGGCAAGGGCAGCACCTCTGACTCTGAGGCCCAGGCTCTCCCTCTGACGTGGTCCCAGGGCTGCCTCATTCTAGGCCTGCGTACCAGCTGCTTCCAGAAAGAATGTGGCCATTCCCTTGATGGCCCAGCTCGGGAATAGTGTGTAGAGAGCTGGGCCTCCATTTTCTGAGCAAGTATCTGTGTGCTGATGACTTTCTCTATTAGCTTCATCCCAGGGCTTTGGTCAGGTGTAAGTCTGAGGAGGCCAGAGGGCTGTCTTTCCCCTCCCTGGCTTCCCATTCCTCCCACAGCCCCTTCTGCGCATAAGACCTATGACTCCAACATTCCTCTTCCATCCTCCAGCACCACACTGTGTCCAGCAGACCAGAAGAACAAAGGCAACAACTGTCTCCTTTGAGTTATGGTACTAGAACACATGCCCTGCTTCATTGATGAGGTGGTTGGCAGGGAGAAGCATCATCAGCATGGAGCAAAGCCAAGCCACAAGGAGCACAGATATGGGGGAGGCTTGAAGACCTGGTGGTTTGGGGACACCAGGGCAGCAGGAAATCTGAGAGCCTGAGAGATCATTTTCCTTTCCAGGCCAGCGTTTCCAACATTCCTAAGGTGGCAAGAGCACAGCTGCCCATCCCAGTTGTCTCCGGGGTGACTAGCATTCCAGGCGTCAGCTGTGTCAAAGCAGATCCTGGGCCTGCACGCATCCAAAGCTGCAGAAACAAGAGGGCCAGTTCTGCCAGTCTGGTGCCTGGCTCCCTATGCACCCATCTCCCACGTCCTTCTGCCTTCATCTGGGCTACTTGAGCAGCCCTGGCATTGCTGACAAGTCAAGACCTCTCCCTCCTAGGCCTTTATCCACATCCTTCACACCTACACTTTTCCACCAGAGCAACTCACTGTGGAGAAAGACAGCCTGTGACTCACCGCTCCCTCCCACCTAAACAGTTGCCACTCTCTGGTATCTTTGATCCTCTGGCAGCTTAGAAGTTGGGAGAGGGGGCCAAGGGCTCACCCCTGCTCATAAGGCTAAAGGACTTTCCACAATAAATAGGATAGTAGTTCCCTCCTGGACCCCTCCAGGTCAGTTCCTTGGGGCCTTTGTTCTATTGTAGAATCCTGCTCTTCAGCTCTAACACCTACCAGTCGCCTCAGGCACTGTACCCTGAGTAGGCAAGACTCTGTATCCCCTTGCACAGTCAGGGACTCCTTGCCTGGAAATGGATCCAGTCTGTGACCTGTGCCCCCACCAGGGTCTCTGTCGTACCAGTCGAATGGCCCTAGACAACCCTTCGGTTCTCAGACTTGGAGTAAAGAATCACTAAGTTTCCACCCGGGTCTAACATACTAACAGTTGCTGATAATCAGGATTTTCACATTTCCAGATGAGTCTTGATTCTGCTGAGCCCTAGTATGTGGCCCAAATCCCTCTGTGCCCACCCTGATGCAGTGGTCTTCACTTCCTGGTCACCCCATCGCTGGAGCCCCACTGGATCTCAGTGACGCGGACAGCGCCGTGTCACAGCCACCCTTCAGAAACGAGACACTGCTGGAAGCTGCAGAGCTCGTCAGTAGCAGGATGGGCTTGGGGTCCAGTCTCTGACTTCAAGGCCAGTGCCCACTGCAACCCCATACCCCGCTCCCTGTGCATCTAATGGCAGTGGACAGTGGATATTCTAGCGGACCCACTGGACTGGACAACAGCAGGAGGGCAGGAGTCAGCCAGAGTCCCTGCATACTTAGCTGTCTGAGTCTCTGCCTGGAGCTCTGTTCTCTCTATCCTTTTCTTCCATCTTAGGCCAAGAAGGCTGCCAGACATGGGGCTCTGTCCTGGGGATACATAAAACTGTCCATTTGAGTCACACAGGCAGAGTTTAGAGTTCACAAGGGAGCTAACTTCACCTTCGTACACCCCCAACCCCACCCCAAAGGGGGCAAAGGAGTAGTAATGGTGGGAACTAGTGCTTGGAGTTAAGCTAGGGACTCTTCTATCCCCCCAGTCCTGTGGCATAAGGGCCTCAATCAGAACGAAGCTGGCTTCTCCATGGCTTCCTAAGCCCAGGGTCTCCTGAAGGTGGCAGGAAGTGTGTCTGCTGGGGAAGGAGGGATCTGTGACTCATCAGCGTCAGGACCTGCTCAGAGCATCAATGCACGGCATTCTTCATCCTCAGGCCCCTCAATCTCTGCCATAGCTCAAACTCGGAAACGCACAGCCTTCTCAAAACATTTACATTTCCGCCAGGCGAAGATTCATGTGACTCTGGCTCCCAAAGTACACAAGTTTTCACGGGAAGATTAAAAGAGGGCTCAGATCATTCTATGACAAATGAACTAGTCTTGCCAAGTGTCATTTAAAGGGGAAGAAAAATAGAGAGAGAGAGAGAGAGAGAGAGAGAGAGAGAGAGAGAGGAAATAAATAAAAAGAAAGAAAGATAGATAGAAAGGAAGGAAGGAAGAAAGAAGCCTGCATTTGTTTTCTCTTGGGAACTTGAAGGGTTGTCTTGGGCCGTTTGACTGGTACAGGAGAGACCCTGAGGGGCCACAGTTTTATAACTTCATGGTAACTTTCAATTGGCACCTAATTAAAAGGAAACAGAAAGCAAGGTCATCCTTAGCCTTTGTTTCTGCACATTTTGTTGAATATTCTCAGTATTGGAATCAATAATAGCTACTTCTCCCTTAAGGCTGGCTTCTGGTTTAGTGGTGGTTTTACTGGCTTATTAGCGGTGGATAGCATTCTTCAAGGCAACCTGTAGAAGGAAATAAGCATAGAGGTCAAGAACGTGGATTATCTCTGAGCCATGGTCGGTGTCACTAAAATATAGTCCCCTCTGCAGATGGCAGTAATTGTTTGACTATTTGTCTCCTCAGAAACTAAAGTTGAAATCCAGAGGTGGTGCCACACATCTGTATTCTCAGTATTGAGAGAAGCTTAGGTAAGAAGAGGGTAAGTTTGAGTTTGGCCTTGGCAATTTAATGAGACTCTATCTCAAAATAAAAAATTCAAAAAGGACTGGGGATGTTGCTTAGTGAGAAGGCCCTGGGTTCAATCATTAGTATCCCAAAATAACAACAGTTAAAAAAAAACCTCCAATAAGGGAAAAGAAAAAAATGTGAGATAATGGAAAGATGAAAATAAAGTGTTTGTAGATGGGGAGGGGAGGAGGGGGTGAAGGGAGGGCAGGGGTAAGGGGAAAATAATGAGAATCAAGACTTGTCATGTAGAGGTCCAAGATCCCAACAATGAATGTAACTGCACTGTATCCCTAAAATGTACCAATAAACTCAATTAAAGCTGAAAAAAAAAACCCTCCAATTCATGTTGAAATTGTCATTGTAACAGTCTTAAGAGATGGATTTTTGTGTGTGGTACTGGGGCTTGAATCCAACATCTTCACACTGACCTACATCTCTAGCCCCTTAATATTATTATTTTTAATAATAATAAAATACAAGATCTTTATAGGCAGGACTTAAACTTGCGCTCCTCCTGCCTCAGACTCCCGAAAAGCTGGGATTATAGCGCCATGTCCAACTGAGCTGGGACCTTCAAGAGGTGTTTAGGGCACAAGGCCTAAGACTTCCTGGGTGGAATTCATGCTCTTACATAAGAATTAGTTTGTCCCCTTTTCTCCATCTACCATCCACTGTGAGAGAACAAAGCATTCTTTCTCTCTGGAGCATGCAGTAACTAAGGCTCTATCTTGGAATCATAATCACCAAACCTGCCAGTGCCTTAATACTGACTTTCACTCTCCAGAACTGTGAACAAATAACTTGCTGTTTCTTATAGATTACCCAGATTGTGATATTGTGTTGTGGCAGCACAAAGCAGAGTAAGGTAATCACTTCCTTTCATGTTCCAGTGGTTCAACCCGGTCCTTGGTCTCATAGATGGACAGACCGGCCATGTTCCAGAAAGGAAGTAAGTACTCTCAGGACAACCCAAGGAGTGGGCTGACCTTGCTCTGACCAGAACCCAACCCTCCCAATGGACCACCAGGCAGAGAGCTACTGTGATATTTCCTAAGCTAATATGTCTCATCGATCCCTGATCAGGTCAGTGAGAAAACAAAATGCCTACAGTCCTCCAAGTGTCTCAACATACATTTTAGCTCTATGTTCATCCAGAAAGCAGATCCCCTGCCTCCTTGGAGCCCTCGGGGAGTCTAGCAGAACTCTACAGACAGGTCCATTAAGGGTCCTGGGGCTCTCCCCCCACAGTCCCATGTCACTGTCTTGGTATTCACCATAATGCATCTAGTTTCCTCCAAGGGCGGGCAGCCTGTACCTTGTGGCTCTGTTCTGAATCATGCAAAGGACCAGGTGATAACTTTCCATTGAATCTCATGATCTTGGCTGCTAAGCAGACCTGATTTTTTTCTGAGTACCCACTTTCAGTTCTGGTTTTGGTGCCAACTTGTTATCATGGTTCTAGTTTGCGTCAATTTAATCTTTTAATCATGTGCATAAAATGTCTCCAGTAAAAAAGAAAAGTAGTAGTGGATGGCCACTGGAGAATGGAACTGGATGGCCATGGGACTGTCTGGGAGGGAAGTTGAATGTAGACCATGTAAGCATAAACCTATCAAGACATGCTTTTGAAAGAATTAATAATGAAAGTGATGGTAACATTCACAGAGAAACCCTGCTGGTGAGTGCTATAATTCGATAAAAAATGTCCCCTGAAAGCTCATGTGTTGAGGCTTGGTCCTCAGTGCAGCTCTGTTCAGAGGGGAGACTTTTGGGAAGTGATTGTATCACAAAGCTGTAACTTCATCAGTGGGCCAATTCATTGCTGTGTTCATAGATCAATGGCTTAATGAAACCTAATTAGATAAACTGAGTCACTGAAAGCTGGGCGTGGTGGCATACGCCTGTAGTCCCGGCACTAGCGAGGCTGAGGCAGGAGGATTGCTGTGAGTTTGAGGCCAGCCTGAGCTGCACAGTGAGTTCCAGGGCAGTCTGAACTATGTAGTGAGACCCTGTCTCAAAAAAAAAAAAAAAAATCGGGTTACTGAAAGTGTGGTTTTGCAGGATATATTTTGGCCCCGCTCCCTTTTCTATGCTTTCTCCCGCCTCTCTCTGTCTGCTTCCTGGCTGCCATGAGGTGAGCAGCTTTCCTCGGCTGTGCCCTTCCACTGTGATGATTCTGCCTCGGAGCCAGCCGACATGGACGTGATCTCTGGATCCATGAATCATTCTGTCTCTCTCTCTCTCTCTCTCCCTCTCTCTCTCTCTCTCTCTCTTTGGAATTTCCTTATAGCACGGTAAAGCTGACTAACACAGTATGGGAAAGAACAAGGAAAGAAGTCATCTCCGACTGGAGGGAGAACCCAAAAGAGAGAGAGATGCGTGAAGAACACTGACAACTATGTATAGTGTGGGGTTAGGAATTTAGCTCAGTGGTGCCGCTGACTGCCTCCTGAGTTTGATCCCTGGCACTGCAAAATAAAGTTACTTGGCCAATACGTGTGGGGTAAGGTAGAATATAACCACCTTCCTCCTACCTTGATTAATAATATTTTGTAAAAATTTATCACATGCGTCAAAACATTGGGGAATCAGAGATGCGGAGAAGTTGAATCCTTGTTCACTGCGGGTGAAAATATTACATGGTTCAAACATTACAGAAGGCAGTATGGTGATTCCTCACACAATGAAAGTAGAGTTGCTATGTGATCCAGCAATTCCATTTCTGGGAATATACCCGAAAGAACTGAAAGCAAAGTGTACAGAGATACTTGTACCCCCTTTCTCCCAACAGCCAAAAGGTAGAAGCAATTTAAGCGGTTATTGGCAGATGGATGATAAATACAATGTGGCATATATATTAAGTGGGGCATTATTCAGCTCTTAAAAAAATGAGGGGGGGTGATTCTGACACAGGCGCAACATAGATAAACTTTGAGGACATGACATAAGCCGGTCGTAGAAAGGTAGTGCAGCGCCACTGGTTTGAGGTATCACAAGTAGTCAAATGCACAGACGTAGAAGTAGAATAACAGTGATAAGAGAGGGTCTGGGAGTGGAGAGTGTTCAATGGGCACCAAATTTTGGTTTTGCAAACTGAAAGGGGCTCTGGAGACATATGGTGGTGACGGTTATATAACAATGTGAGCATACTTCACTCCTGAGAAATGGCTACACTGGTAAATTTTATGTGTGTTTAACCACAACTAATTTTTATTGTTTTTAAAATGTTTGATTACACCTTTAGGCCTTTTCTTCCCATTTCACAATGTCAGTTATCTCATTAGGATCTTAAGAAAAGGTCTAAAGGTGTAGGGAATGTGGGATGGGTAGGGGAACGGTAATAAGGGAAAAGAAAAATGTGAGAAAATGAAAAGATGGAAATAAAATGGTTGTAAATGGGGAGGGGAGGAGGGGGTGAAGGGAGGGCAGGGACAAGGGGAAAAAATGAGAACCAAGACTTGTCATGCAGAGGTACAAGATCCCGACAATGAATGTAACTGTACTGTATCCCTAAAATGTACCAATAAACTCAATTAAAAAATGTTTGATTAGTTAGGGCTGTGTGTGTGTGTGTTGGCCACTTGGGAGGTAGGGAAGGCAAGGTGGGTCTAATACACTAAGCCCAGATTCAGGGCAAGGGCAAGGTGGGCTGGTATGAATGAAATCCTCAGGACACACCCACAATGAGCAACACTCAGGTGGTTGGTTTGGCTTCAAAAGTCCACCACACCTCCTCCAACAGCGCTACCAAGTCCTGGCACACAGCATAGTGTCATGTGCCTCCTGGGAGATACTCAGGAGGCCCCACCCTAAAGGGCAAGCTGTGTGGCTTCTGACGTCTTTCTGCTATCTTGGAGCAAGCCTCTCCTGACTTCCTCCCCTTAATGCTGAATTATTTAGCCAGCAAGGATTTAGCTAGCCAAGCTCTGTGGCATCCACGGCAGACCAACAGTGAGGCCAGCAAAGTTCCCCTGTGGAGGCTCCAGGTCTGGCAGGAAAAATAGACAAACAGTTGGACATCTTCAGCAAAGAGCAAGGCACACAAGGGAAAGCAAGTGCCAGAGACTAGGGGGACATGTGGCCTCTGGTCACAAATATTGTTGAGAGCAGCCCTGCAAACAGGAACAGTCAGGATCCCACTGAAATCTGAGACTCAATGAAAATTAAGTGAAAACAAAGGACTACTGGAGGGAGAGGACAAGAACGGAAGGCTGTCCAAACCCAACAGCACTGGGAAGACCAGAGCAGGGGAGGGCAGGTATGGTATGTTTGAGGGATAAAGAGAAATAGATCCAAGTAGAGCACAGGGCGCAAGGGAGTTGAGGTGGTGCCTATAGAGAAGCAGGCAGTCATGAGGCTCTCAGTGCTCCTCACCTGTTTAGAAGCAACAAGAGTGGGTGGCTGGGTGTGGGGAGACATGGCATTAGCTCCCACCAATGCCGTCACAAATTCCCACAGACATGGTAGCTTCAAACAACAGAAATGCATCCTGCTATGGTTGTGGAAGGCAGATGTTACAAACAAGTTTCACTGGGCTGGACCCCTGTGTTGGCAGGGCCAGGCTCCCTCCAAGGCTGCACCCTCAGCTTCTCCAGCTGCTGGTGGTTCATGGCTATGTCCCTTCAATCTCTGCTTCCTTCTTCCCCTCTCCTGTGCTATGACTTTTTCTTACAAAGATACTTGCAGTGGCTTCTAGGATTCGCCTGATAGCCCAGGACAATTTGTTCTCTAGACCTTTAGTTAAGGCCTTGTGCACTGTGGCTGTGATGTAAGATGGTGCCGTCAGTACAGAAAAGAGTGTGGCAGCTCCTCCAAATATTAAAACTAAAATTACCTATGATTCAGCAACTCCACTCTGGATATGGACCCAAAGGAAACAAAGATAGGCCCTCAAAGGGAAATGTGTACCTACCTGTTTACAGAGGCGTTATTCGCAATAGCCCAAAGAGGGAAGCAGACAAGTATCCACTGTTGGATGAATAGATAAACAGAGAGAAATATTATCCAGCCTTAAAAATAAGGGAAATTCTGACACAGGCTACAGCCCAGCTGGACCTGGAGGGATTGCGCTGAGTGAAATAAGCCAGACACAAACAAACCATAGGCTAAATGATTGCACTTTTTGTCAGTTCCCTGGAGAGTCAGTTCATAAGATAGAAATTAGGATGGTGGCATCCAGGGACTGGGAGAGGGGAAATGGGAGTCAGCGTCTAACAGGGGCAGAGTTTCAGTTTTGCAAAATGTAGAGTTCTGGAAATGGATGGTGACAGTCACACAACAGATGAGTATACTTGATACCCTTGAACTGTACCTTTTTAAATGGTGAAGAGAGTAAGTTTATATTGTGCATTTTACCATAATTTAAAATTAATTTTAATGCCTTAACACCTGAAAAACTTGTCCATGTCAGGTGCTGTTCTCAGGTACCAGGGATTAGCACCTGGCATCTTTGAGGCCACCTTTCAAGCCACTGCAGCTGGTTCGGAGGTCACTGTGGTTTTCCAGAGAAGTCATGTGATATGAACTTGACAGCCAGCTGTGGGAACTCTAGAGCCACCAGGGAGCTACAGTTGGCAGGCTGTGGGGACAGGGCAAGAGGCGTCACATTTACACCCCGGGTTCTGGTAGGGGTGACTCTCAGAACTGTGGCTTGCTGAGAGGACAGCAAAGGGAGTGAGGGGCATGGTGGAGGCTGAGGTACCCAGTTACAGACACAGCAGCTGACAGTCACCAAGAGCTGGCAGCTGGACAGAAAGCAGCCTCATTCCCAAGGCTTCACACAAAGGCCTTGGCTCCAAAGGTCACACGCTGTGTTAGCTGGCATGGCCCCACAGGGAAGAGTGGTCACAGATTCCTGCGCCACACAGGGGACCCACATGCCACTCGCTTGTTCTTCTGTGGATCTGTTTGCTGCTTGGTAAAGTGAAGGAAATGAATTTGCCAAGTCCACATATCACTGACAGGTACCCCGCTCTGTGGTTCTCAGTGCTTCACAAATGTCCGCTAATACAATCCCCAGAAAGCTCTCAGAGGTAGGGAGTTGTGTTGAAATCCCCTTTGATGGATGAGAATTACCAAAGCACAGACCAAATAAGTTACTTTCCCAAGGTCACACAGCTACACAGAGGCAGATCCTGGATTCGAACCTCAGAACCCTACTCCATGTTTTGTCTGCTTAGCCAACCCTTGATGTGGTCTGTCTTTGCTTAACAAGGCCCCATAACCAAACCAACTCCAAAGTAAACAGCAGCGACCCTAACAATCTATTCAGTTGAAGTCAGTATCTGACCAAGAATGGACAGGTGGCAGAGGGGCCAAGCATTGCTGAGATCCAGAGCCCGGGCTACCACTTCCCTGCACTCACGGCCTTTGCTCCAGCATGCAGCTGATCAGCAAGGAGAGTGGGTGAGGACAGAAGATGTCAGAGAATGCATGAGACACATCCAAGGCCTCCAGGGCTCCACCTCAACAGTCTCATCCCCTTCCCCAGGATCCGGAACACCCAGCGGCTGAGGGGCACCTGGAAGTCACTTGGACTGGAAGCAGATGGACAGGGGATAAGTAGCGAGGCCGACGGCAGGAGGTGGGTGGGAAGGAGCAAGGGGAACCTCGGCCCAGGGCCACCAGGAACCTCAGGCAGGACTCAGGGAAGGCAGGAAACGAAGAAGGGAAGGATCCCCGGCCAGGAGGTGACAGCACTCCAGCTAGGCTAGGACGGTGGCACCACTAAGCCCAGGCAGCCCAGGAAGACACAGATGCTGAGTGACAAAAACCTCCCTCCCAGGAGGAGCCAGGCCTCGCCTGAGAGTGTCGCCTTCCACTCTCAGTCTCAGGCCCCATTCCTTCTACAGGAGGCCTGGCCGCCAGCGGGAGTTAGGTAGAGCATGAGCTGGGGAGCCAGACTCAGACCAGTCAGGTC